TATTCTATTTTCAAGTTCCTTGGGTTGATGGAAAATCTTTGACTAAGCACATTAAAAGTTCTAGGCTTGGTAGCACCAATATGATTTGAGTTAATTCTTCATTAAAAAAAGAGTTTGATGCCTTCCTCTTCCTAGTAATTATTATAATACTTTCTAATAGCTACTTTGGAGTACTCTTATTTCTAACTCATCCATTTATCATAATTAGATGTGTAAACATATTTCATCTTAAGAATCTTCTTACTCTCCTCTGTATTTTAATGTCGTAATGTTTACTTCAAAAAAAACTATGAGAATAAATGATTATGTAATCAACTATTTCATGTTTTGCACAAAAATTGTAATTTCTAAGCTAAAAACCAAGGATGCCTTGGCTTTTATGGGCATTCCCTTTCAATTATGAGTTTTCATTCAATTCACGTAAATTTTTTCTTTTTATATTTTATTGTTCTTTTTTTTCTATTTAAAAAAAAAAGTAAATATGTGAGAATTTGATTTTTTCTAGGTTGAATTTCAGTTATATCCTCACTCATGTTGACTGCCTTACTCCTAAGATAACATGAGAATTTCCTTCTCATTGTACATATTACTATATATATTATTGCTAACTTTTTTTGGATTGAAAGAAACATTAGATTTTCTTATGAATGTAGTAGTAAAACTATTTAAATTTTGGTGTTTGAGATCAACTTTCGCACTCACATAAGGAGCAAAGAAATTAAAATTTAAATACGATATTCCTAAGATTATCCCAATTTTATATTTCAATTGAATATGTTTTTTTGAATCATTTCATTATGTGATATTATTATTTGCACTTACTTTTGTGTAACCTCTACTTGGTAGTTATGTTATCAATGTTTGGATTGATAATCTTAACAATTTTTTTATCAACATTCTATTGGTGATTGTTAAATATATTTATTTATTATTTTTTGCCTCTTTTTGGGAATGATGGGAATCTTCTTAATTGTCTAAAGAATGCTATAGATCATATACAATATGTAATCATGTTTGACAACCTATACAATATGTAATCATGTTTGACAACCTTCGATTTGAGCCATCATCATATTTGATTTTCCTAATAGATAAATTCCTTGCTAAGTTCTACTAATTATGAGTTGTTTAGCATGGGAAATATTTTACTATCTTTTAAAATTTGTTTTCACCTTTCTTTAGTCAGTTTCCCTTTAAATGTTACTATAAACTTGTCATCAAATATTCAAGTCTTAATTTATTTGGTTGGGCATGACTCTCATCTTCTAAATCACTTAAAATTTGTCTAATAATATGAAAACAAACTCTTTAGTTTTATATCTATTCCAAAGTTATTCAAGTGCTCAATCTTACCCAAAATTCCTCACACACTAAAATTGAGGATAAAAAGGAAATTAAGTAGAAATAAATAAATAAATAGGAAATGACTACATTGCACAAAACAACTAAGGGGACGTTTTTGTTTTTTATTTTGTTTTTGTTTTTAAAACATGTTTGTTAGTGTAATTTTTTTAGGGCTTTTTTTTTTCTTTTAATCAAAGAATTTTTAAAAATACACAAAACAATTTGTGGATGTTTTTCTTTTGTATTTTTTAAAATAACTATACATTTTTTTAACTTACCAATAAACCTTGTTTTTAAATCAAAATGCATGCAAATAAAAAAAAATAAAAGTGAAATGTTCTCTAAAGATGCATTTGAGGCAGCTTGTGTTTATCCGATAAACAGCTTATCCTGAAACGCGGCCCGCTGGTAACCCGCGGGATTCGACCTGCGGCCTGCGTTTAGTATAAAAATCCAACCACGTTTTCAGATAAGCTGCCGAAACATGTTTTCCACAACGCCGCCTGCACTTATAAGATGCCCCAAACGGGCCCTAAGTTTCTTAGTGAGCATCACTTGAACTCTATATCCCTAGCTCACGTTTGAACAAACTTAAACCTGACTTGTTGCGATTCATCGTCCCATGAAAAAAAATATTTAAAAAAAAAACTTGGAAAATTTACATACGTAGCACAGAATTTTATATTTTTGAAAGAGCCGCCTAATAGAAAAAATATGAATATATAAATTGAGATGTATTTTTGAATTTATAAAAAGAAAATTGAAATAATTTGTACGCTCATAATTTGTCAGCACAAACCTCAGAGGATCCCATGAACCTAAAAGACAAAGTGCAGTCAGAGATGACCCATTAGAAGTCAAGGACCACCTCAACATGAATCTATGAAATCACTGAACAACAACTCCTTTTGGCAAGGATCAAGAAAAATCCTACGAGACAGAACCATCAAGCCCATCGAGACAACACTACAAAACATTTCGTAGAAAAACCTCAAAGGCCCTCCATAATACAGCTCCTACACAACTCTCGGGCAACTGTCCTATTGAAGGAATAAGACAACTTTCCTGTTGAAGGTGAATTGCTCTTTGCTCGACTGCCTAACCTCATTCTAACAACCGGTCTTGCACAAAGAAGATGATTATCGGTAATAAGATTAAAAGCTTGGCCGACCAAAGGACCACAACTAGGCTAACCGAAGGATCACAGTTTGGCAAATCGAAGGTCCCTGTCTCTGTCGACCAAATACCCATACCCTAAGCGACCAAAGAACTGTAGCATAATCAGCTAGAGACCCTCACCTCGATTAAACAAAAGCTCATACTTCGGTCAACCAAAAGCTGATAATTTGGCCAACCAAAGACTATCAGATAAACTGATCAAAGGCCTAGTCTCATGCGACAGGAAGATGAGATAATCAAATTAGAGTCAGCTTATTGTACACTTCACACCCCTCTATTCTGTAAATAGAGATTCATTTCTATAACAATAGTCTAATAAATGATTTGAGTGAATCTAGACTCTCTCTCTCTCTCTCTCTCTCTCTAATTCTCCTGTATTTTATTCCTTGGTTCATGCTTTGCGGGACGATCTAGAATTTAACATAATTATTTTCTTATAAGATAATAAAAAAGGCATATTCTGGAACATTAGCATTAAATTATATCTTAACCTTTCCTTTGCTATTTACAAATTTTAATTACATGCTACTATTAATTAAATCAACTAACTATACACAACTTACTATGAATGAGCCAACATCAGTACTAGATAAGTTAAATCGGCCCACAAAAATAATTACCAAATGAAGAATGCCAATCAAAGTAGATGTGAAGCTAAACCTAAGCATTGCCACTAGTCCAACACTAATTGGGCAGCTGTAGCTTATTCAAAAGTAGATGTGAAACTGCTGAAAAATAATTGGATGTTCAAAAAACTGCGAACCACTACACCTTAGTCGAGATCGGTGAGAAAATGCAGATTTCAGTAGTAGCTTTTTGAAAAGCTGTCAAAATTTAATTTACCCAAACAAATAAAACTACGGTGCTGTATCACACTGCCACCTCATCATCGCTCCAAAATAATATTAAGTATAATAAATCATTTCATGTAGGCCAACTAATTTTTTAATTAAAAGTTTATATTTTTATGCTTTAACCAAATATATCTAAGGAATGCGTAGACTACTCTTAAATAGTTCTCTTTCATCACGTTAGAGAAAAGTACTCATTGACATTAAAGTGCGCATTTTTCCAACAAATAACTGTATTTATTCTAATTTTATGATAATGAAATGTGAGCTATCTTGGTATCAAAAAATTCAGAGCATATTAATAAACCACTTATTATCATTCCATCCTTTACGCATGCATCATGCTATCATCTTGCACTATCCATATTAATTAAAGAAAGGGATTACTTATGACTGTTCGTAATACTTCTTGGGATTATATTAAAAGGCATCACATATTTGTAAATATTTAACGAATTCTATATAGGCACTTGATAAAACTTGAGAAAGCATTTAAATCTTGTTGAATCAAGAAAAATTGTCAGTATGAATTTTAAAAAAATTAAAATAGACTAGAATGAAAAAGGAGAAATTCAATAATCTAATGAAAGACTTCTAGAGCAAATTAAACCGATCGGCTGAAGATCATTAGCTGATAGAAGAAAAGATGATCCGCTAAACAACTAAACTAATACCAAGGACCACGAAAACTAAAGACATCGATACCGATGGCTACAGGGTCAACCAGTTGTCATTTGAGAGATGCTCGATTTCATAGAGTGAATGTCGATCGATACTTATACAAAACAACCAACCTAAATCAGTTAAGTTGACTTGTCCAAATGCTCTCCAATAGGGAGACTTAGGCTTTGTTTGGCGCAGCTGTGGATTATTTATAATCTGCTGATAAACAGATTATTCTGATAATCTGATAATTTACAGATTATCAGAATAATCTGGCTTGTTGTTTGGGGCAGCTTATTCAGACTAGCTTATTGGTGGTTAAATGACATTCCTGCCCCTGTCTGATAAAACTGTTTGGGGCAGCTTATTCAGAATAGCTTATTGATAGAAAAGAAACATAGTGCAGAAATATACGATAATCACATATCAGTTCTAAAAGATATCATACAGTTCTCACACCCTAATGAGTACCAGGGGAACTAAAAAAATTACAAATACAAGTACAACAACAATGAGAAATATTAAAATATTCAACTTAAGACTCTGGCTACGCCGGTCCTCATCTGCACTGTCAGCCGGAGAAAACATCGGATTCACATGATTGTTGGCATGACGTTGGCATGACTACGGTCAGTGTAATATGAGGGACTATCAGCCCACCGGAAGAAACCACAACGAGCTGAAACACCATTGGCATAACCATAAAACTGCCTCCCAAAGCTATGCTCCTTAAGTGAAGTTAACAACGGAGACGGTAGTCCACAATAACATAAAATCCCTATGTCTGTACCTGATATTCTGGAGGTCATGTTGGTATAACTGTGATGATTCTGGAGGTCATGTTGGTATAACTGTGAAAATAACAAAAGAATGAAATGTGAGCTTAAGGTATTTTAAAAAAAAATCAAAATTAAATGCGTATGAATATGAACTTATAATCTTATTAAAAGAAAACTTGGTAGATCAACAGCCACAAATATCATCTGTGATAGACTCCCTTAAAGCAATCATATCAGCCAAACTTTCAGCATCTTGATCTCCAAAATCATTAGATTCTATATCCTCTTCAGGTAATGAATGCACCCCCACAAGTCCTGTTGGTTGCTCGAAAATATTGAGTTCATCATTGTCAGCCATACTGAAGTCTGTATCTGATTGCGAGGAATGTCTTCGAATGAAGTTATGTAGTGTCATTGTTGCAACCACAATGTACACCTGCTTTTGGAAAGGATACGACGACATATCACGTAAGATGACCCATTTCTTCTTCCAAACTCCAAATGTTCTTTCAATTACCCCGCGTAAAGATGAGTGGCGTTTATTAAACATTTCATTTCTGCCACAAACTGTGCCACTAGCTCGCTCAAAATCAGGAAGATGATATCTCGAGTCAAAGTAGGGCTTTAGGTATCCTCTTTGCATAGGATATCCTGCATCAACCAGATACATCAACCAGATAATGTTTTCCTAGTACGAGAAACAATGTTAATAAAAAATTGCACAATCCCACATATTCAAATTACTAAACAAAATTAACCTGATGAGGGGTGAGGGAAACACTGCGATCTATTCCTCGTGGCAAAAGAGAAAATTCGACTGTCATGTGCACTCCCTTCCCAGCCCGCAACCACAAAAGTAAAGCACATGTTAAAGTCGCATATGGCTATGACATTTTGCGTTGTGCGTTGTTGAACCACTAGCGTTGTTGAACCACTACGACCGATGTATGCTACATTCTCGTGGTTGGGTATTCGGGCATCAACGTGTGTACTGTCAATTACACCAATACAGTTCTGTTTAGTTGTCCATTACAGAGTGATAATATTATTAAAGTATAGCATGTAACAAAATAAAAACACTGATAGTTACCTTGAAATATGGCATATATTGAGGATCGTTGGCAATTTGTTCTGGAGTGGTAGCAAATGATGGATCCTCTGGTTTAATTATTTGAGTTGCTAAGCTAACAAGTGCATGTATCCCTTTTGAAAAGTAACGACTAATTGTTTCAAATGAATGCTGAAATCTTTCCATAGCTCCTCGAATTGACTCATTCTGTGTCAGAATGTACAGTGTTATAGCCAACACCTCCCAAGACAGAGTTCTAGAAGAATCCTGGAAGCCGTGATTTAGACATAACTCGTGCAGAAGATCCATAAAAATAGGTCTCTTCATTCTGAATATATTTCTGAATCTTATTGGATGTCCCGAAAGCATTTCACTAACCCATCTATCTCCAACAAAGGTGGATGTCATGCGGGGAATGCGAGTAGTGCTACGCTGGTAATAATCCAACAACAATATCGCAACGGCTGTAGCAAATG